TTCACTATTTTCCCAGAGCTAAAACTTTAACAAGTGCTACTTCTCCGAGTCAGGAAGAACCTGGTTACAACAGCAGTTAAAAGGTGGTTCCACGCTCGTCAAAACTTCCATTTTCACGATCAGAGTCATTGCTGCTGGATGAAGTTTATCGTAATACCCAGGACGATTTAGAAAAAAAATATATATATATATATGTGTGTGTGTGTGTGCGCGCGCTGTAATTAGACATCAATTGCTCTTTTAAACTTGTTTTATTGAAAAGTATACACTTTCTATATTAAATTTAACTATCTTCTTTTCTAAATTGCAATATATTCGTCAAACCGGGATATGTAGCGATAGAGTAAAATCATGTATTCAGATACTTAATGTGAATCTCGTTTTATCTCGTTAGATATCGATTTTGTTATATTGAAATAAAACTCTTTTTCTGGTGACGCCATTTCATCATAAATCTTTGTTTTTTTTTCTTTTTTTTTTTGCACATTTTTCCTGTCATTTCTCCATATTTCTCCTTTCTTTATCAGGTTTAGCAGTTGTTGCCAGTATATTCACCATTTCAATTCTTAGTCTGGATCGCCTGTTAGCCATTAAGTACCCAATGATGTTCCGTCAGCTATGTACAACCCGAGTGGCTGTTAGACTTACCATCATCATCTGGTTACTTTCCATCAGTGTCATGTCACCCATGCTCTTCGTACGAAAGCTCAACAAATTCATCCTACCAACCAGCACACTCTACTTCTGCCACGAGATATGGTCTACCTTAGGACAGCGCATCATCTACGACATTTGTCTTTTTCTTGTTGTCTATATTATTCCCGGTGCTGTTATTGCTGTCTCCTACACAATGATCGGCCGGAAGTTACTTACGGAAGACTCTCGCTTAAACCGGAAGGAATCAGAAATAAGTAAAGGTATGGCTAGGCACGTTATGGCCGGCCGGAGACGAGTTGCTAAAATGCTTATCATTCTCGCTCTCCTTTTCCTCGCCTGCTGGATGCCATATCATATCATTAACCTTTATCTTGACTTCAGAATCTCACAAACTAAGAACTTCGGAAATATTCTACCATATACTATTCTCCTGGGTCATCTGAACAGTGCACTCAATCCGATTCTGTATTTTTATGCTAGTAAAACTTTCCGAAGGGCCTTGGTTCGAATGATTAAGTGCCAAAAAGTCAGATCAACACTCCGAGGACCGGTAAGTAATACTTTTTATGACAAAGTAGAAAATTTAATTAACTTGTTTCGACAGTTTGTTTTCTCTTCTTCTTCTACTTAATGATTAAACATTTTGTAGAGTAATTGTTTTCATTTTGCCACGATTTGTTTTAACTTGTCAGAATTTTTATGGGGAACTGTCATTATTATACACTCGGGTGAATGACTTGATCTTGATTTCTATAGTCACAACCTTTCGGCCGTTATGTTCTCTGGTTGTATTCATTTGTCTGTCGTCGTTCGTAACTTTCCCCGGAACTAAACCCTTTACTCAATCCATTGGGTAGATTGTCCTCATTCCGCAGTTCATATACCAGTTAATTCGTTCGAATTAACTTTCCATTCTGTTGTCGCTTGTCTCTTCCACTGGATAAAACAAAACTCACCTTGCCGTGCGTCTCGAAAAGGACCTCCAATCGATTGTGAACTGGGGCATGAATTGGCTGGTCAACTTCAACACTTCGAAGACAAAACTGCTCTCTATTAATCACCACAGAGAGCCTTCCCTTCCCTCCATTAGAATGTCTGACGCTCAACTTCTCGAGAGCAACTCTCTGCGGCTTCTCGGTCTCACGTTGACTGCTGACCTGAGATGGAATAAATACATCGAGTCAATTGCCTCGTCCACTGCGAGGAAAGTTGGCTCCCTGAGCCGCGCTAGGAAGTTTTTCTCCCTTGAGTCGATCCTCCAGATATACAAATCCACAATTCGCCCTTGCATGGAGTATTGCTGCCATATATGGTCTGGCGCCCTTCTGTTTGCCTCGGGGTTCTTGATAGGCTCCAGAAGCGGATATGCAATATGGTTGGCCCTGCCCTGGCGTCTCGTCTACAGTCACTTTCTCACAGACGCACCGTCGCCTCCCTCTGTCTGTTCTACAAATACTTTCATGGAAATTGCCCGAGGAGCTGCATTCGCTGGTTCCCAAACTTCATGAGTTCAAGCGCCCTACGAGGCTGGCATCCCGCTCTCACCCCTTCACTGTCGAAACCCTAAATGTAGCCGTCTCTTCTACTCTAATAGCTTCATGTCTCGCACCTCTCGCCTGTGGAACTCTCTTCCCTTCTCCTGTTTCCCTGTGAGTTATAATCTCCAGCTATTCAAGTGTAATGTCAATCGACATCTCCAGTTGCCCTAATCTATCTACTACCCTCATCCTATCTTCTATCACTCCTATCTGATCTTCCTATCTTCTGTAACCCCTTGCGTCCTAGTGGCTTCCCGCCTTGCTTGGGGTGAAATGCTTAAAAAAAAATGTATACAGGGTTATTCAGAAAGAAAGGGTAGATTTCGAAAATTTAATAAAAACAAATGACAAGAGACAGAAACACATTCAACACATTAATTCATAGGAAAAGGATTAAAGTTTATTATTTTAAGGTTACACTTCACAAATTGCAGTATGCAAAACGACTTTTCTTGTCGTGTGGCCATTTTAAGAGTTGTCATAAATTATAACAATTTAAAGACGAAAAGACAAATTTCAAAACAAAATCTGAAAAAAAGTGAGACATGATTTTTTTTACTAGAAATTGTAATATGACAAAAAGGAAAAGCATTTTATGATTAAATTTTGTATCTGTTTATATTGCTGAGATGAGATATTATGTACACTATTTACATTATTCGTACTATTGTCCTCATCTCTGTCGCCATATTTATTACAACGTTTCGGTCGTTGTACGCTCCGGCCTTCTTCAGGTAGTTGGAATGTCGAATTGATCCCTTTATTTCGCTCACTGGGGTAGACTGTTCTAGTCTCACGTGCCATGATTAATGGATGTCAGTTATCAGTTATCTCCTGTTAATTCCCCTCTGAAAGTTCTCCACTGCCTTAACCGGGTATTGAACTGACATTCTTTGGGTCCTGTCATTGGATATAACTAACACCTTTATCTACTGTAGCAAGGACACATGGCACAGTGGATAAAGGCGTTGATAACTGGCATCCATTAATCATGGCACGTGGAACAAGAACAGTCTACCCTAGTGAGAAAAATAAAGGGTTCAGTTCGACATTCCAACCACCTGAAGAAGGCCGGAGCGTACAACAGCCGAAACGTTGTAATAAATATGGCGACAAAGATGAGGACAATAGTAAAATATCTTCTTTTAGCCTTGATTACTGCAGCAGAAATTTTTGGCATTCGTTGCAAAAATTTCTCAAAGCATAAGTTTGATAATTGATGACATTCTTTCTTTCAATAACTCTAATAGAATTTTTCATTTTTTTTTTTTTTTTCACTCTTCTGTCAAGTTCATTCTATGCTAATACTGGGAGTGTCTTCAAACTTTTTAACTATAGTGGATGTATGAACCTTTAGCCCTATATTTAAATTTCCGTTACTGGAAAACATTAACTTACTTGTATCATTTATTAAACAGGTAATTCGAAAAGAAAGAGTAGATTTCGAAATGTTAATAAAAACAAATGCTAAGCGACAGAAACACATTCAACATATTAATGGATAGGAAAAACTTTCAAAGTTTATTATTTTAAGGTTGTTCAACTTGTATACGCTCAACATTATCACCATGTGTTGTGTGATAAACATCAAAACAGTATTTCAATTTTTGCTACACTCGAATTAATTGATCTGTGAATATTGACTTCACAGCTTCAACAATTCGATGTCTCAAATCTTCCAGGGTACCAGGCAAAAATGGAACAAACACTCTTTAGTTTATATACCCACAGATAAAACTTTGCAGTATACAAAATGACTTTCATTGTGGTGTGGCCATTTTTAAGCGTTGACACAAATTTAAATTTATACAAAATCTAAAAAAGAATAAACACTATACTTCAATATTACAGTTTTTATTTTCTTATTTTAAGGTTGTTCAACTTGTATGCACTCAACATTAGTGTAATGTATTGCGCTACAAACATCGAAACAGTATTCCACTTTTTACCACACTTGAATCAAATTATCAATGGATATTGACTTCACCGCTTAAAAATGTCTCACATCTTCAGGATCATCAGGCATAAGTGGAACAAACATTCTTTCTTTAATATTCACCTACAGATAAAAATCACATCTAGTGACCTAGGAGGCCATAGACAATGAACAACATGCTCTTTTCCATACATTACAACAATTTAAATTTCAGAAATTTGCTCTTTCTTTTTTATGACTCTGTATATGTCTTTTACACAACAGGAATTTAAAACTCACGACCTCCAAGTAACTCGATTCACTGAGCAAATCCTTTTATCTACTTAAGTCATGTATCTCAGAGTGGCGGAAATTTGTCTGCCTCACTTGTCTCTTTCACTGGACTATACAATATCGATTTTTATAAATCTATAGTCTTATTGGATGGTGAAATTTTTGTATTCGTAAGCATAATGTTCCTTCCTGCTTAATTAAGATTTCCCATATGATGTCGATTGCTAAGTCTACCGAGGAATTTATTAGATCCTGTCATGTGAATAGATTCTTCCAAAATTATATTATCATCTAGTGCTATTCTGTTTTTATTCTGATTTCATTCCACGGGGATGTTGATAACCTATCCTTTTCATTCTCACATGATCAACTATACCTGATTTTATCGTTTCCCCGTCCTGGATTATGACTTCTTCAGCTTTACTTTACACTTGTCTCGCTTTTGTATTTCATACCACAACTGAATAAAATGGAATATACGTAATTCCTAGTAAAGTTCTCTTTCGAGAAAAGTCCATCTCAGAACTGATGTCTTCAAAGAATATGATCCTGGCGTTGTATGGACCACAGTTATTCTGAATTTTTTCTGGCATCTCTTTTATGTACAGTTTTTCAACGCTGACCCTCGACTCTAAAATCTTCGTTTGTGAAAGCTGAGATTATACTTGCTAAATAATATTACACTTAATTGTATTTCTAATGTTGACAACCTGTTGGTATATCTATGGGTCACTACTTATGGATTATGCTCGATATTGTAGACAACGAACAAACCTTTTTTTTCACGATCGATAGAAGCTAGTAATTGAAGTTTCAATATCATCCAGTCAATATTGGTTTACGATATACGGATGTGTTGAATCTAGGTTCTGTTCAAGTTGCTCCATGAAAGTGAGTTTAGCGGTTTTTCTCTGTCGAGAAACAAGGAGGAAAATCTTCCTGGCAGTATTTTAAGGTGATTTGAAATGAGATTCGAATTTTCCAAGTGACCTTAGAAGATAATTATCCTTTTCCATTGTGAGTCGAAATTTTTGCTTTCGTTTGAAAATCCATTTCCATTGAAAATATCTTGTGTGTTTTGGTTACATTTATTTTTTTACAAAACGTTTGTCTCTGCTCTTTGTTATTCAATTTATGATCTGGTTCCCCCGATGTTCATCTCGAGGTTCTCGATAAAATCCAAAGACGGATATGCGATGTGATCGTTCCTGATCGTTCTTGACTCGGTCGGAGTTAACTCCTCTCTTAATTGTCCAAATATTTCACTAGGGCACGCTCTCCCTACACTATAAATACTGGTCGATTTCTTGTCTCGCCATGAAACACACATACACGTACATACGAACTTTCACCAATATACAAACACTTTACGTTCGCACACAAACACAAATGTTAATGTCTGTCCATTGTGAAGTTCGTTGTTTAATACATATATTTGATATTGATATATATATATATATATATATATATATATATATATATATATATATCGGTCTTGTTTGTTTTCTTTACATCTTCGTTTGGACTCAACTTGAGTCCGCATTGTTCTTGTAGTTGGACCTTCTAGCAGGAATAAACAGAACGTGTCCCTAATTTAACAACACGCAAATCCACACGGTCCTCTACAACTCCAGTCACTTTTTCACAGATGTGATGTGGTTTCCCTCTGTCTTTTCTACAAATATTTTCATGGCAATTCCTTTGACGCCCCGACTGCAAGAATTTAAGCGTGCTACTAGGTTGGCATCTCGGTCCCACCCTTTTACTGTCGAAACAGTTAAATGTAACAGCCTATTCTACTCCAACACCTTCTTCTCTTGCACTTCCCGACAGTAGATCTCCCTTCCTCTTACTTGTTTCTTGTAGTGTCATTCGAAATCTTCTGATGTCTTCTTTTTATCCTTTCTTCAGTCCCTGCTACACCCAGTCTTTTCTCTTACTTTCAAACTCTGTAACCCCTTGCGTACTGGTGACACTCCCACCTTGCCTTGGGTGAAATGCATTTTTTTTAAAAAAAGTTATAAATCTATAACTACGCTTGTCTTTTTTTTTTTTTTTTTTTTTTTTTTGTCCCTCCAGGTCCACGTGGTTGTGCGTTACTCAGTCAAAGACGAAGAAAACATCCAATTGCAAAAACATCCGGTTGTGAAAGTCTTGTCTCGCTCAAGTTCTTCCAGTCGCTCAAGCAGCAGCATACGCTTTTCACGCTCCAGTAGTTTCAAGTCGCCAACCCATCGCGACAGCCTGAAGGAATTGCACAGCATACAGAAGCGTTACGACTCGGTCAGCTGGTCAAGTCGATCAATCAGTCCCCCGGAAATATCTATTCGAGAGGAAAGTGAAAGAAGCTTCACCAGTCTGTCGTGTGCCCATAAATCGTCGATTGTATGCCAACGTATGATGGCCAAACACAGGCGGGAGATCTTACAGTGTTCTTTAAGTATCCCGACTACGATAAACGAAGAAAGTACTCGAAGTTGTTCCTGCTCACCAGGCCCACAAAATGTGCCTGAAGCAGATGAAAAGCTCGATTCTATGATTTAATAATAAGAAGAAGATGGAATTTAATATTTGTTGTGTTTGGCACAAGGTCACATTTTTTTGTGCACTCGGAAAGAATTAAACTTATTCTCGATGACTTTCGAGACAGACAATCTAATCCTTATACTACTACGAGTGTTCAAAGTAATATGGTACTTTTTAACACGGGTATAATATCTGAAATGTTTGACTTTTAGCTGACGACGAGAACACACCAATGATGCGCGCTTAATTACCAAACTATAAAATTATTGTACTAATTGGATAATTATTTATAAATATTTTTTCAGAAGCAAAAATGTATGTTTGGATTCGTCATCGGATAAAACTTACTATGAATTACATTCTTTGAATTGGATATTTTAACATCTGTGTTTCAAAATTAAAAGCGCTGAAGAATCTAAGAGTCAGTGAATGAAAAAGCGACGTTTCCATAAAACAGTGCCTGTGCCTACTTGTGTATGAGTCAGAGCCTTCGCTTATGAAGCCTGAAAAGAAACATAGATGGACAGCACATGAGTAGGAATGTATCACTGAATATGTATATATTTTGATTACGTGTACCCGTGTTTATCAATTAGCACATGACAGACTTTCAAATCGAATCAACTTTAACATACAACGCAGTTAATATGCGTGAAATCAAACTATATACAAAGATCGGAGGTGCTTGAATTTAAACTTTTTTTTAAAAAAAATAATATTTATTTTTAACAAATGTTATCATTTATTTGTTGTTTCCTTACAATTATTTTTCTTGAATCATTGTCAAACTTTGCCTATAATAAAAAATATCCTTTCAAATGTATCACTTAAAAGGCTTTACAAAAAGTCAAATACTACTAACAAAGATTTGTATTCTTTTGTTACGTTGTTAAAAACAAATAAAAAATGAAGACATGTCGTCAGTTTAAAATGAATCCCATTACTTTTATCATGACATTTATTCATGTTCATAGAAAAATGTGTGATCTAAATTGTGCACTATATATATATATATATATATATATATATATATATATATATATATATATATATGAATGAAATGAGACGATGTAGAAAAGCAATAAACGACGCATTTCGCAGAGAGTGTCTGCTCCCTCTGACATGAGTCGATTATTACTTTTCCACTTTATCTCATTATCTTCACTTCCGTTTGGGATATTATTATGCATCCTACACACATACACGCATACACACACACACACACACACACACATATATATATATATATATATATCTTAAGAAAGAGAAAGAATAGAGTTAGAATCTACATTTCTTAGCATTCACTTTTTAAAACGTAAAGCGATATATTTCTTAGCATTCACTTTTTACAAACGTAAAGCGATATATAACATAATTAAAATATTTTTATTATAATAGATTATAATAAAAACATTTTTATCATCTTATGAAAAACTTTCATGTTTCAGGACGATAATCGTTCCTCATCATGAGATAGAAGATTACATATAATGATATGTAACGATGAGGAACGATTAAAGTTCCGAAACATGAAAGTCTTTTGTGTAGCGATGTAAATGTTTTTATTGTAATCTATTACAATAATATTTTAATACTATTATATATATATATATATATATATATATATATATATATATATATATATATATATAAGGGGAGACTGAGGTTAACACCAAGTGGCAAGTCTGTTTCATAATTAAATGCAATCTTCAGACCATATTCGTTGTAGTTCGAAAGAATACCTGTGCTAATACATACATTATATACAACGCAGATAATGTAACATACCTTAGACAAAGCCAACACTTTAAACTAAACAAATAAGTATCCGTCTATATTTCTGAGATGAGGTATTATGTACATTATCTACATTATTCGGACTATTGTCCTCATCTTTGTCGCCATATTTATTACAACGTTTCGGCCGTTGTACTCTCCAGCCTTCTTCAGGTTGGTGGAATGTCGAACTCAAGGACACGTGGCACAGTGGATAAAGGCGTTAGTTAGATCCAGTGACAGGACCCAATTAGTGTGAGTTCAATACCCGGTTATTTCATGGTCCCAACTCTTCAGACCAAAATTACATTAATAAATGAAGTTAAATATATATATATATATATATATATATATATATATATAAAGAAGATATAGTAGTTCCAACGAGAGAAAAGAAGAGAAAAACCACAAACGTTTTTGGTTGTAATGTGGATTTTTTTTTTTTAAATATTATGCTTTATTTTCCATAATTTTGCTAAACGTGTTTCCGGTCTCATATATATATATATATATATATATATATATATATATATATATATATATATATATATATATATATATATATATATATATGTGAAAATATATAGAAAACTGGTTATGTAAATAATCCAAAGTCCCTTAGTATTTTAGTTATTATTTTAAAAAATAGTGCTCGATACAAAAGTAGAAAATATGATTCCAAAAACGCGACATAAGAAGTCTCATGTTTCAAAACAAGAGCTTACTTTAACTAAATTTAATTTAAATAATTATATTGAAGTTTTTGGCTCTTGTTTTGAAACATGTGACTTCTTATGTCGCGTTTTGGAATCATATTTTAAATAAATAATTATATATATATATATATATATAAACACACACACACACACACACACACACACACATATATATATATACACACACACACACACACACACACATATATATATATATATATATATATATATATATATATATATAATTTAAATATATTATTTATAGACGAGGCGTTTTCGTTGTCGGCCATATAAAATTGATATAATATTTTTATTATAATATAATATTTTATTATTATATTTCTGCATGAATATCCTGTTATATCTTTCTATGAATACTTATTTTTGCTTTTCCCCCAAAAAAATGTGAACATGTGTGTGCGCACGTGTGTGGATGTTGTAAGTGACTTGAATGCGTGTGTATATTCAAAAACATACATATTTAATGTAACAAAAATACACATATACAGGCACATGTATAACCTCTTAAAGGACAAAGCTTTATAAAAATGCATTAGCTCTTTTAATATATATATATTGAACGACGTGTTAAAAGGTTTTATGTTTACGTCGAACTGAAACAGTTGTTGAAATTTTATAATGACCGGCATATTATACGATATTCATATTTTCCCTTGTAATTAACAGAATTTACTTGAGCAATTATCAAATTTATGGACATAGGTCAACTTTAAATCTGTTAAGTTTGCATTGGTGAGGTCGAATATTAAGAAATACAGTAGAATCACTGAAAGCCGGACTAAGAAGGCCTTCCGGATATGAGGAATTGGTTAGAAAGTCCGGATATGAGGGATTATATTTAGATTAAAATAAAAGAACTGAAATCATATTTAACATTTATTTTCAGTGTTTTATCGTAAATAAACTAAACTAATGATGATTGAAATATGACGGAAATGATTTTAAGGAAAAAGAAATAAATTATATAATGTTAATGAAAATTCATTAAATTAAGTATGTCACATATGCAAAACAAATAATATAACGAGGATTTTTTCTTAATCGCTATTGCATGATTCTTTCTTTTCTAATGTCATTCTCAACTTTTTCTGCATTTCGTTTTGCTTTTGTTCGTGAATTTTTTAAAACAAAAGACACTTTTTAACTCTGCGTGCAATCGTCATAGCTGAATGCTGGCTTTCTTTCCATAAAACTGACAGCTCTCTCAATAGCCTTTTTCGATGTCAGTCCAGATTTCATCCCAATAATGCATCTCGTCGCTATCTTGTTGCAGTTGTGTCTCGTTGTCACCTTTTCCTCTTATTCCCATCATCTTTTGCACTAATACAAGACATTAGGAACAAATAAGCATAAGAAATTATCCAAAGTAAATTTCCTGAAAAACAGAAAATTCACATTCACTTAGTTACATATCACCCAAATAGTTAAAATATGCACACCAAAATCATGTCCGGATATGCGGGATTCCGGACATGCGGGATTCCAGATATGAGGGATTCCGGATATGAGTGATTCCGGATATGAGTGATTCCGGATATGAGGGATTCCGGATATGAGGGATTCCGGATATGAGGGATTCTACTGTATCAGCAAATTCGTTGTTGACTTTTTAATTTTACTTTGTAGGTAAAACTTTGTTTTTTTTTCTTGAATTTTCTTCAGTAACTCAACAAAACTTATATAAATTTGACTTTAAAACTAATAATTCCCTCTTCCTGAATACTGTTACATTTTAGTGAAAAGAATAAAAAATATATTTCTACGTTTAGTCAGCTTTTATTTTTTCTTTTCTTCGTTAGCAGCTGCCCAGTTTAGTTCAAAGAGAGAAATTTTACAGCTGCATTTTCTATCAATTTCTATTTATTCTGAAAATAATTATGTAAGTTATCTTTGCCGTTGTGCATAATTTAGTTTCTGAATTGATCCAAACTCTGAATCCAAGACTTTTTTCGTTTGCTCTTGATATTGCATAAATATTAAAATCGCTCGCGAATAATATCTGCAGCAGATGAATTAATGATTTAAAATGAAACTTTTTTGTTATATGTGCGAGGTTTTCATTTTTTTTTTCTTCTGTATTCTCACATCACTTATGAACATGAAATACCATTTGAATGTCTACATTATTAAATAGCACAGAAATAATAAAACCTCCCGGGTAGATTTTTTTATTTCTCTGTCTGATGCATTCTTGACAGGAGTAATGCAGATGCGTATAAATATGT